TAACATAATAGCCATAATTAAAAGCACGCTAACAATGCCATAAATTTATCACACAATTTTACTAGCTTTCTGCCCCTAACTGCTCTCTCATCGTTAATTAAACGTGTTGCCTTTTACAGAATGGATGTTTATACATTTCCAATATAAATAAATTCGAAACCATCCTCTCTCTCTTCCTCTTTCTCTCCTCCTTTCCTTTTGGTCTCTCGCCATTTACAGTCACGCCTTGGCGTGGACCCTGAGTGGCAGACACCTTGAAAAGAAATGAAGTTTTGAGATGCAAATCCAAACAAGAACACTAAAATAGCCTCTTTTTTTTCCACCCCGAAAAGATCCGGAGAGGTATACAAGGGGGGGGATGGGGTGGGTAAGAGAGTTAAAAATTCCCCGCTTTGGGAAATGGAAATAATCTGAGTGGGTTGGGGCCTTGGGTATCACCTCTGCCCTTTCCCACCTTCCTTGTTGGCGGCTATCCAGACAAAGAGGCCGGTAATAGTTTAACGAATCTATGCAGATTGTCAAAAGAAGCAGACTTTGATTGTTGTGGGCGCGGGGCTGTTGGGGAGAAAGGAGGGGTATTTTTCTAATAACCCCACCCACGTTTTGCTCCCTCTTGGACACAGAATAACTGCTCTTGGTGGGGGACACGCCCTTCACTCCCCGGAACCTGGTCCCAACGCCCCGGATTGTAAGAAAATCGCACCCGCGCGCGGGCGTGATGATTCTATCTCACGTCGCGCCAACGATTTATTCAAGTCACTGGCACTGTCTCTGACTTAAAAGAAGAGAAAAGAGGTATCTGGGTTCACTTGGGCCTGGTGAGGGGTAGGTGGGCAATTCCCGCCTTCCGCACTCTAACTGTGCCCCTCCTCCAGTGTTGACCACCTAAGAACCCAAAATGGGCTGTAATTAATTTCCCTTTCTCCATCATAAATTTTTCTATCCATTTCTTCCCTCCCCCATCCCCCGCCCGGGACGCACACACTAAATCTCCCCTCCCCTGGAAACGTCTCAATTTCCTTCCTATCGATCCGGACTCCACTCTTCTTGCCTCCTGTTGCTAGAACCTAGATCCCCACTCGCCCCACCCCTCACTCCCACCGCGTCCAGGTGGCTTTCCCAGCGGGGTACCACGTACTCTGCCCGCTCCAGGAGGAACCAAAGGGGTTTCATTCCATTCTCCTTTGGTTGTAACATTTCAAACATTTGAGCAGGTGAGGCAGCTGGCTGCCATCTTCCTTTTTAAATCTCTCCTGGGAAGTTCGCTTGTTGAGACTCAAAGAGTCACTCAAACTCGTAACTGTGTGTGTGTGTCTACTCATTCTCTCTCTACCTCTCGAATAACCCCTTGAGACTCAAAAACTTTTTATCCACATACACCCTTTTCCCTTCCCTTTATCACATTTTCTTCCCCCCCACTACATGTGTCTCACTTTCTCTATCTATCTCGCTTATTCCATCTCTGTCCTACAGCTTGGCGGTAACTGACGACCTGCGGGCTTTTAGCTGCAAACTGCAACTACGCGGCAAACAAATTTATTTAGCCCGGCATCTAGCCGGTCTCCGGCAGGACCCTGCACAGCGTCGGGATCGGACCCTTTCGCTGGGGCAGCCTCCTGCGTCAAGGCCAGCAGGAACCTTCCTGTCTCCCTTCCCGGCCGCCGCTTCGCCTCCTTCCTGCCCCCGGAGGTTGTGCGGGCGCTATGGTCCTCCTGGAGGGAGAAAGCCGGCGGCCGGTTCCTGAGCCGAGAGTGTCCACGGAAAAATCCTCTGCCTCCGCTGGAAATCGATATTAGGCCGGCGCGGGCGCAGGACGTCGGGGCCGCAGCCAGTAGGTTGTGCACGTCTCATCATTTAGCTAATCGAGTCGAAAAGTTTCTGTAAGGGCCGGACCCAGCATCAGATGGTAACACTGATTGAACAAGAGATTAGCACAATAGATCTCTAACCGAGGGGAAGCGTTGCTTTTCACGCTACGCGCCGTAATTAATGGTATGAATCAATTAATTTGACTTTTATTGTGTTGAAGGAAAAAAGCGCAACAAATGGAACCGGCAGCTGGGAGTTGTTCATCCTCCACCCCCTTCCCCAGGGAGGTTCCAAGGAGACACCGGGGAACGGACGGATCAGGCCCGGCCGTGGCAGAGGGAGGGTAGGAGGCAGCGACCAGCGGCGTGGAGGGATTCCAGAGCTAGCCTCGGCGGGCGGCAGAATCGAAATTAGGCTCATTTGGAGACTACTTCGAGACCGGTGAGGGGCGCCCTGTAGCCACCATCCTCCGGCACGCGTCCACACTTACTTGTCCACGCGGGCCAAGCCACCAAGGCCGCGGCAGGGCCAGCGCTGCGCCCCGCGCCCCTGCCTCTAGGGCTGGGCAACCCAAGCAGAGCAAAGGAAGTTCCTGAATGTGTAAATTTCAGGATTTTCTTTTCTTTTCTTTTCTTTTCTTTTTTTGGACCTTCCGACCCTCCTTCGGTTGCTGAGGCAGTTGCAACCGCGAACTCTGCAGTTCCGGGCGGTGGCCAGCCAGCTCAGCCCGGGTCGGTTTCGCGGAAGGCTGTCTAGACGGCATGGTAAACGGTTCGAAGCCTGCGGGCCACAAAGCTGTGAAGCTACAGAAATCAACTCTGAGATGCGTTTTAGGGCCGGGTGCAACCTTGGGATCATTTAGATAAAGAAAACCCGTGGAGGTTAGCGGGCGTCTCAGGATAGAGTCACCACACCCCACCCTGCTCCCAGCCTCAAGTGAGTTAGTATTCTATCCGGGGAAACTGTCTAATGAAGATGAAAGTCAGTCTGTGTGTCTCAATGCCTGTAATGAAGCAGGTTTACAGATTTTAAAATTTTTATTTTATTGAATTATTTTTAGTGTGTCTAGGCCAAGGAAAGAGGAGATCGTGGATGGGGAAACAGACTGAGGGAATCGGAAGCACCACTGTCCATCCGGAATTAAATCCACATCCCAGCATCTTCTGCAAATATTTCACTAATTATTTCCTCTCGGAACTCCTCCCCTCGTGCTCCTTCCTCTGGTGAGGCCGGCGCTCCCCTCCCAGGCCGCAGCGTACAGACAGGGATTGGGTTACGTGTGCCTGCCACACTAGGCACAGGCTCTTGCGGCTCCCAACTAGGCGGCCTAAATGCGGAAGGAAAGAGGCAGCGCATCGCGGATTCACCGGGTCAAGAGCACTGACTTTCCTTGGAGGTGTGAGGTCCACGCATCCCAGCCACGCACTTGGGGGTCGGTTTGCGGTGCCTCCCCCTCCAGTCCCAGTGAAATCCCCACAGTTTTTCCTACCATCACTGACTTGCCTTGCACTCCGCGTGCGCTGGCCACACATCCTCGCCTCCTCCAACCGCTCCGCCGCTGGTTTCCTTGGAAGTTAAATCTTGGAGGATTTGTCTACACCTTAAGAGGACAAAATCCACTTTAGTTGGCAGCAACGGAGAGCCCAGCACGCTGGCGTGCCCAAGACTGCCCAGGTTCCCCCGAGGCCATGCCCACCGCCCGGGAAGTCACCGCCCGCACACCTCATGTTTCTTCAGCCGTCCCTGGGCGCTGCGTCTACCTGGAGGCACCAGGCCTCTTCCCGGATCCACTCGACTTACCCGGGCCGCTGCCAATGCCGGCTCCTTCCCCAGCGCCTCATTTCCGATTTTTTCATATGCTAAGTCGTTTAACAACTCCAAGTAGCCAGTTATGGCTTCTTTATTTATAGGGTCCCTGTTATTTTACGTCGTTTTTATTTCTCTCGGCAACTATTGTAATAGATTAATCAATAGCCATTTTCTGACCTTCGGGAACCCCAGCTGATGCTGTTTGTGGCCGCATGAAAAAATACATACAGGAAAACACGCTCGCATCCAGCTGGGAAAGAGCAGGCAGGACCTAAGTGGTTTGGTTGAGGGAGGGGGAAAAAGACATCTCAGCAGGTGTCTTCCCCAGAATGAGCACTGAGGCCAGAGGGAGATCTGAAGTCTAATTAGCAGGAGGGAGCCGGGTGCGCTGCTCTTACTCTTTAAAGCTAAAAACAATAAAACAAAAGGCAAAACAGAGACCAAGTTTTGCTTTTCAAAAGACGGTTTGGGAACCTCGTTCTAGGTCGCCCGTCCCTGTCTAAGGAGTGTGGCAAAGGGGGGCAGAGAAGGGGGAATGGAGAGGGGGCGGGGAAGGCAGGGCAGCGACAGTCGCACAGTCCCGCGGACGCTCTCAGGCCCACGCCCTCACTCGCTCACACCCACCCACACTCACACCCACCCGCTCCCTGGGTCCCAGGGCCCGGCTCCAGCCTGGGCGGGGGGTCTCCGGGCGGGCCGGAGCGCCCTCGGGGCCCGGGGGATGCTGGCGCACAGTGCGGAGCGGAGTTGCGCGTCTCTGGTCCCTTTGTTGACAATTCCCTGAACCAACTTGAGTTTGGCCGGTTCCGCCGCGGCCCTGACGTCACGCACGGTCACGTGGCCCCGCCTCCCGCTGGATCTTTAAGTAGAAAGTAATCTATCAGGCCAGTCCTTAAAACGGGACTTTCGACTACCGGGGCTTCGGCGTCCCTGACACCCAGCCCCCTGCCCCCCCGCTACTGCCCCTGCCCGCGTCCTCCCGAACTGCTCGGCGCCCGGCGTCCCGCGCCCGCCTGGACCGTTCCTGCGCCCCAAGCCAGGGCCAGAGGCCGAGGAAGGCCGGCTAAGTGAGGGGGCGCGGCGTGGAGAACCGCCGGGGCCGGGAGTGGTAGCGAGCGCCTAGTACCGAGCGCCAGGGACGGCAGGAGTTCGCGGAGCGCGGCCGCTGGGGGCGGACGGCAGAGCCCGCTCCGCGCGATGCGGGGCCGCCGAGTGTGAGCTGAGCCGAGCGGGCCCCAAGCCACCTGCGGCCCCCTCCCCTCTCCCTGCCCCCCATCTTTCGGGGGCACTCAAACCCTCTTCCCCTGAGCTCCGCGGCAGCCCCCGACCACCCCCATCGCCCTCTGCCCCCTCCCCGCCGCCGCTACCAACCCCGAGGAGGGATGACCCTCTCCGGCGGCGGCAGCGCCAGCGACATGTCCGGCCAGACGGTGCTGACGGCCGAGGACGTGGACATCGATGTGGTGGGCGAGGGCGACGACGGGCTGGAGGAGAAGGACAGCGACGCTGGTTGCGATAGCCCAGCGGGGCCGCCGGAGCTGCGCCTGGACGAGGCGGACGAAGTGCCCCCGGCAGCACCCCATCACGGACAGCCTCAGCCGCCCCACCAGCAGCCCCTGGCATTGCCCAAGGAGGCGGCCGGAGTCGGGGCCGGACCGGGGGGCGAGGTGGGCGCGCCCGAGGCGGACGGCTGCAAGGGCGGTGTTGGCGGCGACGAGGGCGGCGCGAGCGGCGGCGGGCCCGGCGCGGGCAGTGGTTCGGCAGGAGGCCTGGCCCCGAGCAAGCCAAAGAACAGCCTGGTGAAGCCGCCCTACTCGTACATCGCGCTCATCACCATGGCCATCCTGCAGAGCCCGCAGAAGAAGCTGACCCTGAGCGGCATCTGCGAGTTCATCAGCAACCGCTTCCCCTACTACCGTGAGAAGTTCCCCGCCTGGCAGAACAGCATCCGCCACAACCTCTCACTCAACGACTGCTTCGTCAAGATCCCCCGCGAGCCGGGCAACCCGGGCAAGGGCAACTACTGGACCCTGGACCCGCAGTCCGAGGACATGTTCGACAACGGCAGCTTCCTGCGGCGCCGGAAACGCTTCAAGCGCCACCAGCAGGAGCACCTGCGCGAGCAGACGGCGCTCATGATGCAGAGCTTCGGCGCCTACAGCCTGGCGGCGGCGGCCGGCGCTGCGGGACCCTACGGCCGCCCCTACGGCCTGCACCCGGCGGCGGCGGCCGGTGCCTATTCGCACCCGGCAGCGGCGGCGGCCGCGGCGGCTGCGGCGGCGCTCCAGTACCCGTACGCGCTGCCGCCGGTGGCGCCAGTGCTGCCTCCCGCCGTGCCCCTGCTGCCCTCGGGCGAGCTGGGCCGCAAAGCGGCCGCCTTCGGCTCACAGCTCGGCCCGGGCCTGCAGCTGCAGCTCAATAGCCTGGGCGCCGCCGCGGCCGCTGCGGGCACAGCGGGCGCCGCGGGCACCACCGCGTCTCTCATCAAGTCCGAACCAAGCGCACGGCCGTCGTTCAGCATCGAGAACATCATAGGTGGGGGCCCCGCGGCTCCCGGGGGCTCGGCGGCGGGCGCTGGGGGCGCCGGCGGCACTGGGGGTTCCGGGGGCGGCAACACGGCGCAGTCATTTCTGCGGCCACCCGGGACCGTGCAGTCGGCAGCGCTCATGGCCACGCACCAACCGCTGTCGCTGAGCCGGACGACTGCCACCATCGCGCCCATCCTGAGCGTGCCGCTCTCCGGACAGTTTCTGCAGCCCGCAGCCTCGGCCGCCGCCGCTGCAGCCGCCGCCGCTCAAGCCAAATGGCCGGCGCAATAGGGACGCGCCAGTGGCCGGTACCCAGGGCCCGGCGGCGGCCTCGAGCGGCAGCTGCACCTCCAGGCTGCGCGCCCCGTCCCGAGCCCGGTCCCGGTCCCGGTCCCGCTGCCCAATCCTGGACTCTGCCTCTCCCCCATTTCCTTTCCCCTGAGCCCCCAACGCCTACCTTCCGCGGCCTCCACCCCCTCGCGCACACTTAAGCTGGTCGAGCAAACTCACCGCGTGCCCGCCGGGAATAGCTTTCCATACAGGTAAAACCGAAAACCGAATTTTCCAAAAATGCACCCCGACGGCGCCTGCTCTTAGTACCGTGGGGATGGGAGGGAAATTCTTTGTATATATTTGTAAAAAAATTATTGACTTTCCTTTTGGGGTTTTTATTTTTTTAAGAAAAAACAAATTCCGTAGATTTAGAGCTCTGAACTTTCATTTTTTTTGAAGGTTCACTCTCCGAAGTTTTATCTGAGAAAAGAATGTATAGAGACGTTGGGAGATTTTAAATATAAAAAATTTTCAAAAAGGCAAAAAGTGTCATTCTATTATAAAAGTCTGTTTATATATGAATGAATATATATGGTATTCTAAATGTTATTCCATCGTGTTGTACACAAATTTGTAAATAAATTTTTAAAATGCCCAGCCTAGTGTTTTATTTAGTTGTCTGAAGTAAATGGCAAGATTTTTAAATGGTTTTTGCCTTTTCTCCTCCCCAGAAAATCAAGGAATTTCAAGTAATGACCTTTTCAAACTTTGTAAATTCGTAATTTGAGTGTAAGAAAATTTTAATTGGAGAAAGGAAACAGTATGCCTAATTTTAAATGTGTTAATATTTTTCTTTTAGTTTTCACATAAAATCAGGATGTGAGTGATATCATTCATATCAACCCATTAAATCTAAATGACCAGACATTTCTGTAAAGTAAGCTGACATTTAAAAAAAGAAACCGAAACAACAGCAGTCTTTAAATTTTTTTTTTTTTTTTTTTTTTTTTTTTTATGACCAGACTTGTGTCTTCCACAATGAAAACTTCCCAAATGAGAGAGTTTCTGGTCATTTCAATTATCCTTTGAAAAGTAAGTAAATTACAAACATCTCTCTTTTTAACATTTAAATCTTAGATTTTTGAAATTATTTCTCTTCATTCCTTAAGTGGAAGTGGTAAATAGACCCAGCTGGTTTTAAAAATTTATGTTAAGGCATTTTACATTTTGCAGTGAGATTTTATTTATATTCATCTGATAGATAATACATAGTTTTGTTTTCATAATATTTTCAAATAAGATACCTCATTTATATGGCAATAATCAATTCACAACATAATTGGATTTCTGAAGGGTTCCTATAGATGCTTCCTCTCCCTCCAATCCGAAGCCTTTCTGAAGGCCAAGGAATGGTGGCCTTAATACCCTTTTAAAAACAGCTGAACATCACCTCTCTCCCCTTTTTTTCTTTACCTTAGGCTAGGTTAGTGTGAAATGCGAGATCGTAGGGCAGGAATGGGGAAGGTCCTCGTAGATTATTTTTAATGTGCATTTCAGCTGTTAAAAACCTTTTAAAAGAAAGTATGAAGGTAGAAATGAAACATCTTGATGTGGAAGGCTGGTTCTCACCACTATCAGCATATCCTCAAAAGGCATCAATTCTAATTATTTTGTAATTAATTTAGCTGTTACAATTACTTGTGCGAAATCGCTTTTAAAAACTGGAGCGAGTAGCAGTGCTGTCGGCTCGGCCCTGCGCGCGTCCTTTTGGTTAAACCCGGCCAGTGCCCAGTGTTGTCCACTTTGCCTCCCTGGTGGTGGAGATGCCTCCCCGTCGCGGATCCCAGCCTCATTTCTCCTCTGTCGACGTGGGCTGGGAGTTGCTTTGAAATACACTTCCTTGCAAATACCGAATCTGTTTTCCTGGTAAACCGTAAACATTATTGTGTCCTTGAGTAAACATTCCTTCGGGATCAGGGTCCTAAAATAAAACAAGCTGCCGGGGGTGAGATAGTTTAACTTGATAAACAAGAACCTGATAACCACCGCGAGAGAGGAGCAATGGTAACCTTCACCGAGGGGAGATTATGGACCACACGGTCTCCGGGTGGGTCCCTTCTAATCTCCTTTTACAAGGAAAACTAAACGGATCTAATTTTGTTTGTGTGTTGCAGCTATAAAAGTAACAAGTTGTTTCACAGTTGTGTCTGGCTAATCGGTTTTTACACAAACAGCAAATGGTACATGATTTGTGCAAACACATAGAGAGGTTATTTCTAAATTTAGCTGACACCCCCTGGGAAAAGGGAAAGGCAGGGCTTCTTGAATTCACTTTTAGCCTCAAGAAGCTGCTGATCCAAGGCTTCTAAATGACATTGGATAACAGGGGCCTCATTCCATCCCTGATCCTTTGTTACTTATAAAATTACTCGCTCATATTTCCTCGCATAGCAGCAATACCGGCCGAGCCTGCGCCAGCAGCGTGACACTCAGCCACAAGCCGCCGCCGGAGACTCGCAGGGCTTTTTCCAGGGCTACATTCATTAGGCGGCGGGGTGAACAGGAGAGACCTGCCGGCAACTTTCCTTCCAGCCAAATCTTACCCTTGAACGACGGCCTAGAGATGGTCCCCTTCCTTTATGTCGTGGAGGGCAGGAAACTCTCGGACCCAGACCCCCAACCTGCCAGCGGTTGTTTAAAGTCCTGGTAGATGTCAGGAAGATGGGCCCGACCGTCGCAGCCTCAAAAACTTTTTGGTTTAAGCTTTTGAAACCTCGAAGATTTAGCACAGAAGGGGAAATGCAAATATCATAGATAATGATCGCAAGCACTTAGTGGTAGGGCGGGGGGAAGCCTGAAACCCTTGTTTGATGTTACGGAACTCAGGCATCTGCGACAAACGACACTGGAAACAGCTCTCTCGTTGAGATTTAAAGGCAACTACTGATATTCACTTTTTATTCCACTTAAGAAAAGAAAACTAAAGGAAGGGAGGGCAGATTTATTTGCAATAAAAGGAGGAAGCGGGTTGATTTTTATGGGGAAGATTTTAGCTTTCGGCTACACACGCATTTAGACGTTTCTACTTTCTCTAGCACTTATTCCTAGAAAAATCAATCCAGCCCTGAGGCCTGTGGCCCCTACAGTGTTCCCAGGACCAAGTTCTGAGTGGGACCGGCCGCATCTAGTCCCTCCGGAAGGTGGATCTGGATGTCCAGGGAAAGGCAAACGAAGAGTAGAGCAAAACATGTGCGGGCTGAGGGCTCTCGATGCGATGGCAGATGTGGCCTGTAGGGGGCGACGAGCAGACGGAAGACTTCGCGGTTTGTCTGGAAGGGTCCAGCCCCAGCCCCGAAGGCCTCTCCTTCCCTCCCACGCTCTGAGCCTCCTGACATCGTTGCTTATTCTTAGGCCCCATACGCCTAGGTCGAACCTCAAGAAGCTGCTTTCCTCCTCTCCTCTGCCTGTGTCCTGGGAGGAACAGAGTCCCAAGAGGAGTTTGTCCTAAAGATTGGGAGGCAATAAAGTTTAGTGATGAGGAAACATTGACTTGGAAGCAATTAAGAGTTATATTTGAGGTTATTTATTTCACGTGGTTTATAGGGTGAGTCTTAGTAAGGAGAACATGAAAGGCTGATACGTGTGTGAGAGAGGTGGGTATTTTTAACTTGAGTCCCTTGAGAAACTGTCCTGAGGGGTATGTGATCTTTCAGATCTTTCTTTCAGAAAGTGTGTTCCAGAGCCTTATGTCCCCCGACTCCACTTCCACCTGTGTCCCCGGTGGTGCAAGCTGCAGAATAAAGTAGTGGAGGTAGGAGGTTGAAAGGGCATTCTGAAAGTGCCAGGCTGAGCTTTGTGGGGGGCCGTCTGTTTCAAGGGAGGAGGCGACAGGAAGAAGCAGGATGAGAAAGGCCTTGCAGAAGGCGTTCCAACAGGGATTAGGCATTTCCTAACTGTGACTTTGGACAAGCTGCTTGGTTTCTTTGCATGTCTGCATTTCCTCGACTCTACAGTGAGAATGAGTCTGCCTGTCACCCGGGCTTGCAGAATTAGGTGAATTGGTGTCAGTGAAAAATGTCTTATAAACTGTAAAGTACTGGGGGCATGTAGAGTTTGTTTTTTAATGGCCTCTGCACGAAGAAACAACTCTGTTCTAAGCACTGGTACACTACCAAATACGTTGACTTGGTTTTGAACAATTTGATTTTAGGTATGAAAGGTGGATTTTTCTAAGAGAGGTTGCAGAACCCATCCCAGGAAACTCCCACCTCAGAAAGGGCTTTTAAAAGGTGGAGCCTCCTCCTGGTCTGTAGCCCTTTCACCATGCCTGCGGAGAAGCCCTCGGTGCCCACCCATCCTTCAGCCTGCACCCCCAGCTCCAGGGGCAGGGCATACCTCTCTCTTCTCTCTGGCAGAGCGGCCTACTCTGCTGTTTGCCCCTATGCTTCCACTATCCGAGGCAAGTGGGGAAACCTGAGTCCACTGCTGACAGACACCCATTAGTGCAAAATGTGGCCTGGGAGGCGAATTAAAGGTAACCAGATCCCAAACCCACTTAAAAGACCACCCTCCCCTTGCTGCCCTCCAACAGTTGGCAGAGTTACACCGAGAGCCAACTACTCTCTTCGCCACTCCTCCTCCCCTTGCCCTCTGAGGAATGTACAAGCCATTCTTTGCTCCCTGGGGTACACAAAACAAAATTTGAAAATAAATGTAAAACCAGCCAGGGTGTCTGTAAGAAAGCATAACCATCTCATTTTTATTTCCTGAAGTGCTGTCATATATTAGAATTTTCCTAAATGCAGAATTAAATTGGTCCCCTCCCCCATTTTAACATAAAACTGCTACCTAAGGCTCTCCTCCAGATGATCTGTGCTTTTGCACACAGCTCAGTCCCATCAGGGGCGAGGTGGGGAAAAAGAGGGACACCTTCACTCTCTTGCCTGAGTCCTCTGGTGCTGAAGAATATCGGCATTAGAAGTGGCCTCCGGGGTCACCCTGGCCCTCTTTTCACACAGGCCCACCCAGAAGGTTCTGGGACTTACCCAGAGTCACTCAGCAGCCCAAGTGCAAGCTATGGAAGTACTCGGAGGAGGAAAAAGTGTGCTTTACCCAGCAAGAAGACGCCACTTGAGGAAACAAAAACAGCAGACTCTGGGGCAGGGAAGATTGGGGAGGGTTGAGAGAAGGTAAAGACAGACATAGACGCGCCAGGCCGATGGAACTCAGCTCCGGGAAGGCTGTGGACCTGGACCCTGGGGCTTCCCGCGGCCTAGGCGCCTCTAGCCCGGCGATGGGCGGTTCTGCCGGGACCGACGGCCCCATTTCCTTCTTGCCTCATGATTTGGAAGGGAGGAAAGAAGGCGGGAACTGCAGGTCCGAAGCTCCCCTCGCCCAGCGGCCCAACCACAGTGCTGTCGTGTCGGGGATCGGTCCCCAAGGGCGCCCCCAACCCTCTGTCCACGCCAAGATCACCCCCGTGCTAACCTCGAGGGCTCGGCCTGCGGGACTCCAGCTGCCCCTGCCTGGAGGGAGGGAAGGGAGAAGATAATACGAATTAATTACGAAGGAAACCCAGGTGTGAAAGGCACCCTCCGCGGAGCTGGGCGTGCAGCGGGGGCGCGCGGTGGGGCCTCTGCTCCCGTCCCAGTCCCGC